CTAGAGCGGGACTTCACAGTTTCTCCAACTAAGGCAATTCTTCCAAAGGGGAAAGTTTTGATTAGATCCTATTTTAAAACTTCAACAACAGGGCCCCGTGACTTTGCCCTTCAAAGAGCTCTCAGAAAGCTAGCATCTACAACTGTGGGAAGAAAAACCTGGCCTCACATCTAAGGAGACAGCAATCTAAATGTCAACTGTTAGTGGGTGGAGGAAGATGAGGGGGGGAGGAAGGAGTTAGTTTTATTTCACAGTACCAACATCATGTCAGTTTTGTGGTTTTTTCCCTAGTTCTTCTGAAAGACAGCTTTCCAATTCCTTCAAATGTGTGAAACCTAACCTTTACTTTCTTGCAGGCGACAACATTTGGGTTCTAAATAAAGAGGAACGAATCAATGTTTGGCATCACTCAGAGTCCCACGTCTTGGGGTTAAGAATGCAGCAGCGGGGCCCGGCTCTCACAGCCGAACAGTACTGAGATCCTGGGGTGATTCTCACAAACATCATGGGTTCTGGGGTGCCCGCTTCCCCAGCTCAGGATCAGGCAGTAAGTGACAAGAGCAGGCTTTCGGTCCCACATCACACGTTTTACAAGGCGGTGGGATGCAGGATCTGAAAGCCTGGACAGTTTCCAGGGATTAAGAATCTATTTAAGGACAAGAAACGGAGTAATACATGTTGAAATTAAATTTTCCATTTAAACCATTTTGAATAGAAAAATACATGCAATCTTGCTTACTTTGGTAACTTTTCTTCTAACTTTTAATTGTGGTTAAATATACCTAACACAAAATTTACCATCTTAACCATTTAGAAACGTTCAGTTCAAGAATATAAAGTACATTCACATGGTTGTGCCACCAACCTCCAGAATTCTCTTCATTCTGCAAAGCTGAAACTCCACACCCACGAAAAAGCTCTTCGCTCCTCCCTCTGCTCCCAGCCCCACCCCCAGCTCCTGGCAACCACCCTTCTGCTTCCTGTCTCCATAAATCTCACTACTCTACATACCTCGTGCAAGTGGAGTCCCACAGTATTTGTCCTTTTGTGACTGGCTTATTTCACTGAGCATAATGTCCTCAAGGTTCATCCATGTTGCAGCATGTGTCAGAATATTCTTTATCTTTATTTTTTAACTTTTTTTCCTTTATTGATTTTAGACGAAGAGGGAGAGAGAGCCAGAAACATCGATGAGAGAGAACATCGACTGGTTGCCTCCCGCACGTGCCCCACTGGAAATCTGGCCCACAACCTGGGCATGTGCCCTGACCAGGAATCAAACTGGCGACCTCTTAGTGCATGGGTCGACGCTCAACCACTGAGCCACACCAGCCAGGCTATCCTTCTTTATTAAGGCTGAAAAATATTCCACTGTCTTTATATACCACATTTTGTTTATCCATTCATCTATAGTACACTCGGGTTGCTTTCACTTTTTGGCTATTGTGAATAATGCTGGTATGAATATGAGCACACAAATATCTCTTTGAAACTCTCTTTCAATTCTTTTGGATAAATACCCAAAAGTGGGATTGCTGAAACATATATGGGAGTTCTACATTTAATTCTCTGAAGAACTGCCACACTGTTTTCTCCAGGGGCTGCGCTGTGTCACATACCCTGAGCATCTTCGTCAGTCTCGCTGTGGTCTATCTTTTGACCGTGGCCATCGATTAGGATAAGTGGTAGTTCTATATTAATTTTGTATTTTCAAAGTTTTCCACACTATCCCTGTACTATTTTAATAATTAGAGGAAAACTGAGTGCAATACATTCAACCATTAAAAGTAGTCATGCAAGTATACACTTATTGATACAGAAAGACCTTTACCATGTGGTTTACCTTTTTTATTTTATTTTATTTTATTTATTTATTTATTTATTTTTAATCCTCACCTGAGGATATTTTTCCATTTTTTGTTCAGATAGAGCAGGAGGGAGAGAGGGAGAGAGAAACATCGATGTGAAAGGGACACATCGAGTGGTTGCCACCCGCACGACCAACCAGGGCCGGGGACAAACTGCAACCGAGGTACGCGCCCTTAGCGGGAACCGAACCTGGGTCTCTCTGGACCGCAGGCCAACGCTCTAACCGCTGAGCCAAACCAGCCAGGGCTGGTTTACCTTTTTTAAATGTGGAGATTACTGTAAGAGTTATACAAGACTAAGTTTATCATCATCTATGTTTGGGGATTACATATACCTGTATAATTATAAATGTTTTATGAAATGTTTTACTCAGACTTAGTGGAATGTGAAAAGAAATATAAAAACAATAAACCAGAAAGTTAACAGTAATTACCTCTGGATAGTGGTAATTTAAGTGATTTAATATTTTTTTGTATTTATTTTCTGATCTCTAGCCACTGAATATGCATGTCGTCTATAATAATGAATAACAACAACAAAAGGGGTAATTTCGTAAATATGCTGGGAATCGTCAGGTACCTAAATTACTGTCGGCCGACAAGATGCTGTGGCCATGAACTATCACTCGGATGGCTGTGGACACTCAAGCCCAAATGGGATCCTCTGACTCAGCGCTAATCCCACTGTATAAATTCTACTTTTATTCTCTAAGTGCTTTGAGGGCTTTATTTGGCTAATATTATAATAGATGCTGAAATTCAGAAGTTGAGAGCATGGTAATTTGCCATCTGTATTCTACATCCCCTGAATCAGTAAAGCAGAGACCTAACAAACAGAATATACAATGCCAGTTTCTCATGCTAAACATGCTAAAATACATATGTATGCAACAGATAAGATTTGTAAGTTAAAAAGAGAAAAATGGGCTGAAGATAGCTATTCCAACCAAGCTATATTACATAATATTTTAGTTACTGTCAGATAAGAAATTCTTATACTTTCACATTTTTTGTGAAAACTCTTTTTTATGCTTTGTTATATGCATGTGTGTATGTTTAATGTGTTTTTCTAAATCCTAATCTTGCTTGTCTCCCTGAACTAAAAGAATAAGACAGTATGTCCAAATTTAGGCACAAAGAAGAAAAGAAAAGAATGCTTCAAAGATAAGAGACAAAAGCTGGGGCACAAAGAAAAATGTCAACCAAAGAGTCTTCTACCCACTAGAAACTAGGAAGCCTGACCCTCCACTTCCTTAAACATAAGCACTATTAATCCTCTACACTCCATCCCTGGCCTTCAAATAAGGAGGCTGTGACATCAGAAAAAATGACTCTCAGGAGTACAGCAGATACCCTTAATGATTGAACCGCTCAACACTTAATGACTTTAATTCTGAAATCATCCCCTTTTCATGACGAATGGCTATCCTTCCGTCTCTCTTGGCTTCAGTTCCGCTCAACATGTGTGTCCCACGCCCTGGCCGGTTTGGCTCAGCGGTAGGAGTGGCGGCCTGCGGACCAGAGAGTCCTGGGTTCGGTTCCCACTAGGGGCACATACCCACGTACCCCACCCCCCAAAAAAATTGGGTGCCCTTCATGATGGCTACCAGCCAGTCCCGTGACGTTTCTTTCTTAAGCCATCACCTCTACTCTGGCTTCCCTGTCTACCCATTCAGCCCGGATCCTGGATGAGTCACTGAAGTGATGGATTCATTACATGTTAACTTCCTTTAATTTCTTCTATTGGCATATAGTCATAGGTTAGCCTCTAAACGAAAGGACCAAGAGAAAGGAGAGAACAGAAACGGACCCTTTCCTTAAAATGTCTAACAATCCCAACTGCCTGCTAAACGAAGGACATCCCCTCAGTCCTGCAGCTCTCTAATGCAGCATCCCATTTCACCCCCAGTGAGTTCCCAACCTCCCCAGTGAGCACCAGGGGTTCTGAGAAGTTACATGTGGGTTTCTAGGAAGGCTCGAGTGGGAGCTGAGCAGTCGGGACCAGCGGCTTCACCCAGAGCAGTCCCACTTTTATCTAACGATGGGAAATCGTTCAATACAGTATGCTGCACACGGAAGACATGCTGTTATTCAGCCATTAAAAAACACATTTCAGAAGAACATTTGGCTATCTACGAAAATGTTCCTGATGCTAAACACCATACACAGTGTTATCCAGGTTCCTGAATACGTGCCAGACCCAGGAATAAAAACTGCACAGAGGGAAACACCCCGCAATGTAAAGAGCGACTGCATGAGAATGACGGATGGATGAGTGCCTTTTAAATTTTCTTCTTTCTATAAATAGTCATTTTTAGACAGGTTTATTAATCTTTTCTTTGACATTTTTTTAATGTTTCTTAATTCTTTCTTTTTTTTTTTAAATCCTCACCCGAGGATATTTTTCCATTTTTTGTACAGATAGAGTGGGAGGGAGAGAAAGGAAGGGAGAGAGAGTGAGAAACATCGACGTGAAGGGACACATCGAGTGGCTGCCACCCGCACGACCAACCAGGGCCGGGGACAAACTGCAACCGAAGTACGTGCCCTTAGCGGAAACTGAACCCGGGTCTCTCCGGACCGCAGGCCGACGCTCTAACCGCTGAGCCAAACTGGCCAGGGCTTAATTATTTCTTTTCTTAAAAAAAAAATTGTTCCCCAAAGCTCCTGCCCTGTGTTTTCCCCTTTCTAAAGCCCAGAAACTGACCTGTCCAATAGTCCTGTTTTGCTGGAGACGTTGCAGACTCACATCTGGTGGTCTCCAGAAGCACAGAAACAAGCTAGGCTGCTGGCCCAGCCTTTTCAAATAGGGTTAAATCAAAAGGGAGGAAGGAGGGACACGAACACCCACACACTCACAACACACAAAACATACCTTCAGGCAATAAGCATGGACCTGTGCCTCTGTGTTGACTTGACCTCAATAACGCGGAAGACACCTGCCTTAACAGGTCCCTCATGGTTAATCTCAGCAAACTGTCAACTACTTGTAAAAGGCAAAAATCAAGGAAATCCAAGAACAGAGAGCATGAATTTTATCAACACTACAAGTTGGCATGGTGCGCTCAGCTTTTCCCAAACATCAGAGGTTTCCTTGTAGACAAGGCAGTTCTACTGTAGTCTAACACTCACCAGGTGCTTTGCCTTTGTGCGGTCCTCCTCACTTGATATCCTCTCACGGAGAATAGCTCTGGTTAACTGCTCATTGGCAAGAGCCCTCTCTCGATCCAGTTCTTTGCTTTGCTTTAGTCTGAAAAGACAAGAAAGGTCTGACTTAGAAGGAAAACATTTTATTAGTTAGCATTATTTTTGATCAAATACTTAAAACGAGAACCAGCTGAAATCTTCTTGACTGTAGTTTAGCAAAGGCAGGTATATTTTCTAGTAAATCCCCATGAAGCCCTTCCCTGAGCATCTAAAGAACAGAATTCAAATACATGAAGTTTATCAATGTGACTGCAAAGCTAGCTTTACAAAGTTCTTACGTAAAACTGAAATCTGCCCTCCAACAAATTCCATCCCAGGTGCCACCATCTGCCCTCTGGAGATGAAAGCAATGAATCTAATTTATAATCTATCTACAAGACAAGCATTTGAAGGTGACCATGTCTTCTCCTCAAAATGGACTGAAATCAGCTGTTTTTTGAACACACAGTAGACACTGCAGGAGTCACTGATGCCCTGTCCTCATGGATCTTACAGGACAGCAGGGAACTAAAGATGTAACTAAGATGTCTTCCCTCCCAGTGAATGACTCCCATTTCCCAACAGTCTTCATATGTAAAATCGGCCAGACCTTTCAAGAGCAGGGCTCCTCACCTCTGGAACCACTCCAATTTGTCCCTGCCTCCAAACTAAATGTAACACCGTGGACATGGTCTAAACAAAACAGCAGAACTGTGCCTCCCAAGACCGGCATACAATGCTAATTCTATTAATAAAGCATCTGATTGCATTAGGTTTATCAGTAACCTCATCACACAATTAGATCATATTAACTTACAATCCACTAAAACCCCTCATTGTGCATGAAAAAGATAAATTACTTTGGCACTGATCTTCACCAAAGAGCCTGGCACATAAAGGTATTCAGATAAATGAGAGTACATTTCAGTCTAATTTCATGGACAAAGACTTTCTGATTGCCTTTTCTTCTTGGAGAGAATAACCCCTCTATACCATCATATCCCCAAAGATTTAAGCGATGCTTTTAAAATTGTTATGTTGGTATAAGTGAAATTCTCAGTGAAATCTACTTTATAAGTAGAATGATGAGTAACAAGTGAACTCATATTAGTCTATCAAATTTTAGTGTTAAAAAATTCTTGAGCCCTGGCCAGTGTGGCTCAGTGGTTAGAGCATCATCCTGTGGTCAAAGGGTCATGGGTTCGATTCCCAGTCAGGGCACATGCCTGGGTTTGGGGCGTATGGGAGGCTGCCAGTCGATGTTTCTCAAATCAGAGAGAGCTCTCTCTCTCTCTCTCTCTCTCTGTCTCTCTCTCTCTCTTCCTCTCTCCCCCGCCCCCTTTCCTCTTTCTAAAATCTGTGAACATATCATCGGGTAAGGGTTAGAAAAAATGAAAAATGCCTGAGAAGAGCAAAAGAAAATAAGTTTTTGTTACTATTTTAAATTGCTACATCATCCTGATACTCTATAATTCTCAGAAATCAATAATAACAAATAAATCACCTTATAAAATATATTTCAAAGTTATCATGTTTTCCCCCTAAAAATTAAATCTGTGTGTTTTATGTTCTTGAATAAAGATGACTAACAGACACAAATTAAAACCAGCACTTTAACCCTTAAGAACAAGAACCAGACAGAGATGTACACTTTCGCCACTCTTATTCAGCATAGTGCTATAATTCTTAGTCATAGAAACTAGACAAGGGAAAATAAAAGAAATTCAAATTGGAAAGGAGAAGGTGAAACTGTCATTATTTGCAGATGACATGATATTATAGATGGAAAACCCTAAAGACTCCATCAAAAATCTACTAGATTTAATACATGAATTCACCAAAATAGCAGGATACAAAATTAACATCCAGAAATCTATGGCATTTCTTATAAACCAATAATGAACACTCAGAAAGGGAAACTAAAAAAAAAAAATTTCATTTACCATTGCAACAACAAAAAAAGATACCTAGGAATAAATTTAACCAAGGAGATAAATGACCTATTCTCAGAAAACTAGGACACTAAAAAAAGAAATAAAAGAAGATATAAAAAAGTGAAAGCATATACCATGTTCATGGATTGGAAGAATCAACATCTTTTTTTGTTTTTTTTAATCCTCACCCGAGGACATTTTTCCATTTTTGTTCAGATAGACTGGGAGAAAGGGAGAGAGAGAAAGATAGAGAGAAACATGGACGTGAAAGGGACACATCAAGTGGCTGCCTCCTGCACAACCCCAACTGGGGCCGGGGACAAACTGCAACCAAGGTACGTGCCCCTAGCGGGAACCGAACCCAAGTCTCTCCGAACTGTGGGCTCTAACCACTGAGCCAAGCCGGCCAGGGCAAATCAACATCATTAAAATGTCCATACTACCAAAGCAATCTATAAATTCAATGCAGTCCCTTTTAAAGTACCAACGGCATATTTCACAGATCTAGAACAAATACTCCAAAAGTGTGTACGGACCCAAAAAAGACCCCAAATAGCCACAGCAATTTTGAAAAAGAAGAAAGTTGGAGGGATCATAATACTGGATATTAAGTTATACTACATTGTAAAACAAGCACTTTAAAATTCTCTAATGCAAAAGTAACTGCTAGGAAATCTTTCTTCAGCAATAAGAGCAATTACACAAGTCAAATTTCTCTATATCATATCACAATAAGGAAGAAACATCATAATTCCATTCACTGCCTCACTGGACATGCACGTATAATTTCATAAGAGAACAGCAATACTTAGCAGTCCCATCACTTCCCTAGAGGGACAGTTCTAAAAGTATGGTCCACCAACCAGCAGCATCATCCCCTGGGAGCCTGTTAGAAATGCAAATTCTCACACACCACCCGAAACTTACTGGGATCAGAAACTTGGGGTGCCCATAAAACTGTCTTTTAGTGAGCCCTCTAGGTGATTCTGATGTATACTAAAGTTTGTGGGCCCTCAATTACCAAAATGTAGTTTTACCCAAATAAATCCTGGAGATATATAAAAGCAGAGTGACGTCAAATATGAAGTGGTCCACATAAGAATATTGTGCTGATAACTACCAAGGTTATTGAATTGGATTACCAAACTGTGCAGTTAAAGCTTTTTTTCTTTTTAATCCTCACCTGAGAATATTTTTCCATTAATCTTCAGATAGAGTGGGAAAGAGGGAAGGGGGGGGGGGAAGAAACATCAATGTGAGAGGGACACAAAGACTGGCTGCCTTCCACACAAACCCGACCAGGGCTGGGGATGAACTGCAACCAAGGTACGTGCCCTGGATCAAATCAAACCCAGGACTCTTTGGTCCATGGGCCAACACTCTAACCACTGAGCCAAACTGGCCAGGGCCAGTTAAAGCATTTTTATAGGCATTATCACCTGCAAGTAAAAAAATATTATCTATTTTACAAGTGACTTGGAAACTAAAATACTAAAAATTACTATTGTTAATGGATGGCAAGCACTGTGCTCACAAGGCACTTTAGATACATACAGAAGACTTATAAAAAACTATATAAACACTGGCCAGTTTGGCTCAGTGGTTAGAGAATCAGCCTGTAGACCAAATGGTCACAGGTTCCATTCTGGTCAGGGGCATGTACCTGGATTTGCAGGTTTGATCCCTGGCCCCAATTAGGTCGTGTGTGAGGCAACCAATCGATGTGTTTCTCTCTCTGTGTCTCTCTCTCCCCCCCTTCTTCTGTCTCTAATAATCAATGGAAAAATATCCCTGGGTGAGGATTAACAATAACAACAACAAAAAATTATATAAAATAAATTCTATAAACTAGATTTTTCTCATGTCCACATTTGGTATATCACGTTTTTAAATATTTTAATAAACACGTTTTTTTCTGTGTTTACTTGCATATGGCATAAATTTTAATTACACCTAAAGTTAAAAGTGGCTGAACTTTAAGAAATACCATGAAGTTTTGACAAGTTAATTAAAAAGAAGCAAAAAAAAAAAAAAAAAAAAAGACAAGAGCCTTCACTGTTATTATAATAAATACAGGTTATCCCACTTGCAGTATTTGGTACAGATGCACAAACTCTGGAGACTGACTCATGCGTCCAAATCAAGGCTCAACCACTTACTAGCTGAGTTAAGTACTTTAGTTAACCTCCCTGGGCCCTGTTATTCTCAAGAATAAAATGGATTGGTATAATACCAAACTTATAGTGTTCTATACACACAAAGCACTTAGCCCAAGGCCTATAACAGAATAAGTACTCAACACATGTTAGGTAAGTAGCAGTGATAGTAGTACAGTACCCACTATAAGGTCAGAAATAGAGAGAAAGCAGTGATTTTTCTGAAAAGAAGAAAACCTCCCAATTCACTGCATATAGCTTTGTTTTCTCTATCTTTGTATTCCAATTTGCCATCAATAAAAAGTTCTGCTTTCTTTTTATTACCTTCCAAGGCTTCTAACATCAAAAATTGACAATCATGACCTGACCACCCAATCCCTTCCCATGCCTTTCTTTCTTTCCCACTCACCCACAAGCTCCACAAGGGTAAGGACCTGGTCTGCTTTTGTTCACGGCTACATCCCCGATGCTTTTAACAGTGCCTGTCATGGTACGTGCTCAGCAAATCCTTGTCGAATGTACCCGTGCACGGAGGAATGAATGGCATATTCCCACCCTCAGACAGAAATGGAAAAGTAGCTGCAGAAACAGACAACTGAGGGATTTAAGAAACAACCAGACGGGCGAGCTGAGCCCTACAAGGCTGGGCACCAGTGTCCTAAGTGTCACAAGTGTGATCTAGTCCAAGACTACACTAAGCCACGTGAAACAGAAGGGTGATATGATACTTTCAATATAAAAGATATTCCATATTCCATGCGATCAGAGCCTTTGGAATATCAGCACCTAACTGTGCTTGATTCTTGGCTGCAGGGAAGTTGAGCGTGGCATAAAGTGGCTAAAAAGAAAATTATTTCCTTTCTTAATAAATTCTTACAGTTACTTTTATTCATCCTTACAAACAGACCTGCACCTTTAGGAGTCTGGCAGCAGGTCCCAGAGAAAATTCTCATTACCCACCAATAACTTAACTG